TGTTCTAAACAACAAACAAGATATTTTTATACCAATTTGAGTGCTAAAACTTTTTCTTTGTGTTTTTGTAGTGCAACCGGCACAATCAGGATTCACTCAAATGCTAATATTAATAGTTTGTTTGGCTATTTCGGTCATTGGAAATGTGTTCCTCATATTCAAGTCAAGAGTATGTAAACCATTTAAAGGTAAGTGTTGTAAAACATTACAATTGTTTAAAAGTCATAAATGATCTCATTAGACTTTAATAATGGAAAGACCAATCATTCATGGGTTTAAGGTACAAAATTATATAATAAGTTATTCTGTAAAATCATAAGGAGTCAATCACACCATTGCTAATAAACCTGCTTACAATGAGTGGCTGTCACTGCTTAGAGTACCAACTTATTTTTTTATGAATAATACGTTCTTATCAGCAGGATTTTTATTAAGGATCATGCAATCTAAAATAAAAAAGTGCACTTCACTATTATATATTTGTTTTAATAATTTTATTTATCTTTAGGAAAAGAAAGTGCTGTGTCAGAATCACAAACTCACAGGTTGAACCAACCAGTAAGTGATGAAAATAAATGTTATTTAATTAAAATATTGTCTACATGGAAAGCTCAGCATCAATATTTTTCTTCTAATATTTCAGATTGAAGCCGATGACCAGCTGAACTATGCTGCACTGAATTTCTCTGAAAGGAAAACAAGAGGAAGAAGGAAGAGAGACATTACTGAGGACAGTGTCTACTCTCAAGTTAAAAGCTGATGCTGATATCAGTGGTGAAGAGCCCGTTGAAAATTAAATTGAACCTGAAACCTGATTGCAGATCCTATTATTTGTGACAGGTCTTGTTATTTTGCTGCCTTGATTAAATACTAACTGTGAGCAGTTTATTCGCCTCATCGCTGACAAGTTTGGGCTCTCAAACTAAAACAGAGTCTTGTCACATTTTTGAAATCCCTGAATTTTTTATCTGTATAAACCTGTTTGCTTGCTTTCGTTGATTAAAAACTATTTCATTCAGTATTTTGGATTCTTTTTTATGTTTAGGGCAAGATACTACAGGGACAATAACTGGTCAGTTTTTAGATTTTGGGTGGTTTTGCCAATAGTGTGTCTTCTTTTATGTTAAAGGAGAGAAATTATTTTATTATCCCGTATCTGTTTGATATGTAAGCAATCTGGGCACAGCCATTTTTTTCAGTGGTTCGTTTTAAACTGCGATAAATAATTTATACTATATATATGCAAACCTTTATGAGTTATACCTTATTAATGTTAGAGAAGCTGTGTGTGTGTTTGTGCTTCATTTACTTTATACAAATGGAACTGTAGCTAAAAAAAACACACAGATTAGACGAATGATTAGTCTGTTGGTTTTCATCTCAGAGAACATATTAATAGGCTTTGCTCCCACTAATTTGAGTGTAAATTTGACAGTTGATGGAACATTAAAATCCAGTGTAATGATAAATGTAGACAGGCATTTTTTTTTAAAACACACACACACATGAATTTGTATTTTGAACTTCAGTTGATTTTTTCTTTATTTACCTTTGATTTAACCTTACATTAAGGCTCCTCTGAATCAGTCTAGATTAAAATCAAATTAGTTGCAGCAAGCTTGATGCAAGCATTTCCATGAGGTGAGTGGGAACATTTCTCCAAGTGGTGAAGATGGCCGCACGAAGGGCATCTACTGTCTGTATCCCAATTCAGGGTCTGCAGCCTTAAAGGCCGCATTTTAAGGCCGATTACGTCACAGCGACGCGACGAAGGCTGTCCCAATTCGAAGGCTGCTCAAAATGCGGCCCTCAAATGCGTCCTTCATTTCCCTGAATTTTAAGGATGTGGCGGTGTAGACTTCGTGGCCCAACATATCCCAGAATGCATAGCGCGGCGGTGGGTGTGGATAATTTTGCCGAAAAAAACGGCGGATGAGGGGCGCCTGAAGAGTGAACTTTAAGTAAGTACTGAATATTATGTCACTTATTTATGTGCAAATGTTTAATAACGAAGAACATTAAAACATTCCTGTTGGCCACATGTCGGCAAAGTCATGTGACATTAGTGACGTTTGTACTAACTTGGTTTTAAAGCCTTTACTTTGAAATATACGCCGTTCAATAGCTGAGCTTAATCAGAGAATGATCAAAGCTCATGTAGAAACAAACAAACAAATGAACAAAAGATTTTCTCCTTCATTTCTGTCAAACAAAGCTGTATGAAACGTTTCCAGCTGTTAGTATCATGGTTGCTAGGCAACCTGGGCAGCGCAATGGAGGCTAGACCGTCCCATTTCACAAGCCTCGCACTTCCGGCCTTAGTGGTCTTTGAGTATGCCTTGAGGATCGTTGAGGCTGCGTACTTTAAGGCTGCAGACCCTGAATTGGGACACAGCCACTGTCTGGAACTGTTGTCCTTTTTCTTTGCCATCCATCCCCAAAGGTTTTCAACTGGAAGGGCAACATGCAGGACCGGCCAAAATAGTGATGTTATTCTTCTGGAAGAAGATCCTTATCCTGCAGGCATTGTGTAATGTAGCGTTGTCCTGTTGAAAAACCCAGTCGTTACCACACAGACGAGGGCCCTCAGTCATGAGGGATGCTCTCGGCAACATCTGGACATAGCCATCGCCGTTTGATGCCCTTGCACCTCCTGAAGCTCCATTGTTCCACAGAAGGAAAAAGCACCTGAGACCATTATTGCGCCCCCTCCACCGTGGTTTGTAGAAAACATCTCAGGTAGGATCTGCTTGTCATACCAGTAACATTGGAAACTATCGGAAACATCAAGTTTTTTTCTCATTAGAGAATAAAACCTTCTTTCACCTTTTATTGTCCCATGTTTGATGCTCTCTTGCAACTTACAAAAGGTGAGCTTTGTTCTGTTCAAGGAGACCTTTGAATACATTTTTTATTTTTGAAGCCCTTCAGTCTCAGATGCCATCTGATGGTTATGGGGCTGCAGTTGGCACCAGTAACAACCTTAATTTGGGTCCAGGATCGTCCAGTGTCTTGATGACAGCCAATGGGATCCTCCGACCCCAAAAAATCTGACCAGCACTGTCTTACTACATCCCACCTCAGCAGTGATTGTGTGCTGCAAGAGACCCTGCTTATGCAGTTTAATAACCTGAACATGTTCAAAAATGAAACATTTTTTGCCTTTGCCATCAGAATGTCATGACAGTGTGACTACTTGACAGGAAAAGACAATGAATCCACATTTTTGCACAGATTTGGTCCTAAACTTTAGGTCAGCTGTAATACAGCCTGCTTTATTTTAAGCATTGTTCTCAATATATTGCATGCTCTAAACAAATATTTTGTCTCTCTACCATTTCTTCTTGTCACATGTTGAAGCTCTACTTGGAACTTTGTTAAGATTTAACCTTGCAAAATACAATTTTTTTGCCATTCTTCAAGTGGTCTTAAACTTTTGATAGGGATGTATAATGAGAACTGCATAGAAACAGTTTATTTAGGTCATATACCGTTCTGGATGCATTTACACTCATCATAGGCACGAATGTCATGGCAATTTGGAGCTTTTAACGATTTCTTTTAACTGTTCTTTTACCAAGGTAGAATGATTACATTGCATAAATACAAAAATACCTAGAATAATAGGGTTTATAAGTTTTAATGTATTTTTTGCATTCTCTTCTGTCTACACAAAATCAAACGTTTATAAATAGGCTTTGATATATGCATACACCTCCAATGATATTTGGTTTTATGCTTCCAGATGCTTTTGGGTACTCTGAATGGATACTGGATCACTCCTCTTGGTAGAATTGGTAGCGCTGACTTAAATTGACTCATTTCCTTGCACTGTCATGACTTTTCACTGTCTACAAATTTTCAATAGATTTAAGAATGGGCTTTTGCAAAGACCTTCTAGAAGCTTTATCCATTC